CCTCCCCTCCCCGACCCAGCTCTGTCCTCCCCACTCCAGCCCCCATTCACCACGGGGGCAGAGCTGCGGCTCCAGGCCCCAACTCACATGGCAGTCTTGGCAAGGATGGACGAGAGCATGGCCTGCTCATCAGTGCGGGCAGATGGCAGGCTGTGATAGCTGTGCTCCGTGCCATTCAGCGCCTTGTTTGGGGGGCTGGCAGCAGGCTCCAGCAGCCGCTTTGTCTCCTCTTCCTACAGGGAGCGAAAGAGAGAAGGAAAGCTCAATTCTGGCTCCAAGGAAGCTCATCTGGTTCCTGATTTGCCAGCTAGCTCAAACCCCGACAGCCCTTCAAACAGCACCTGCCTGGTTACATGGTGCTTCCCGACACCTTTTACCCCACACCCATCCCCATCAGAACGCTGCTGGATTGCAACCAGAAATGTCTCTCCTTGGCTGAGTGCTCCCCTCTCCTACGGGCCGAACACCAGAGCCCCCAGCAGTGCTCAGAAAACACGGGAAGCATGGGCAAGCAGCTGGTCAAAGCCTTCAGGCTTTGGCCTTCCTCTCTGGCTCCTCTCCCCATATGAGGTCTGTATCCACCACACGCAGAAGGCATCTCATGCTCCAGGATCTGGAAGCTTTTTACCAGCCACCAAGACAGAAGAGAAGAGACAGCACCCCACCCCCCCAGCTTGCAACACAACACTGTCCCACTGGAGAGACAGTTATACCACATTACTGGGTCGGGGCGCTTATATAAGACAGACTACTCTGCTGGTTTTTCTCTCGAGCAGCTGGAGCAAGCGAAGATCCTCCATTCTTAGGGCCCATTTGCACCAGAAAGCCCTCATGGCATTTCTATCAGGTCCCCCAGCAAGCTCAGCTGCACTAGCAGAGCCCTCTTGCCTGCAGAAATCAGGAGCACAAGAGCTTTCTGTTGTCCAAGGGCCATCACAAGAGATGCTGCACCCCCAGCAGACACTGCTAAACCAGTATGCACAAGCCTAGCCTCCATCAGCAACTGCACACAAGAGGTACCAGGGTGATGGCCCTGGGGACCGACACCAGATACCTACACTACAGATAAGCTGTCCTCCACGTAGCCCATCCTTGCCTGGTAAGGCCCTTCTGGGGCAGTCACATGCAGGCCAAGGCTTGTGCTGACCACTGACACCATCAGATGGACTGACTGTGATGAGAGGTGGCATAATACAGTTGTGTCCATTATAGCCACCAGCCGCATGGGGAAAACCTTCCCCCAGTACCGAGCAGATGACTTAAAAGGTCTCTTTATCCAAGTTCAGCCAAGTGCCATCCAGACACGCAGCCAGGTTACTTCCCTCAGAAGAGCATCACAAGACTAGAGCACCCCCCCACACCCCGTACAGTGATCATGGAGGCTGCAGCAGCGTGATCTACCCCCTACCAGACTCAGGGGAGCGTGCCTTGGCCAGCCGATCCGGGGGATACTAGTCCGTCCAGGTACAGGGATCCCTCTGGGCACACCACAGGCTTGCTGCCCCAGTCCCAGCCTTCATGTCCCTGAGTAAAGATTGCTCTAGGGAGGAGAGGCCAGAGATGCACTGCCTCCTGGGCCTGCTAGTTCTCAGACAAGGTGGAACACAGGAGACTTCAAATGGTTTTCACATAAGCCTGATGCTTAAAAATGTAACCTTCAAACAGCTTGCGATGCCTGAACTTACCATCATAAAACAAAGCAGCTAGATATTCAAACACCACCTGCTTGGGCAGCTTGAAAAAGGGCCGAGCCACCGGATGGGTGCAGTCCCTGGCAGAGCTTAGGGACCCACAGCTTCCTTAAGAGCTTGTTGGCAGCTACCTCTTCTGCAGATGCAGAGGGGGCTTTTTCACATCAGTTTATTCACCTGGTCCCACCGTTCTCTAATTCCAAGTTGAGGAACCAAACCAGAAGTTTAAAGAGGAAGAAAACCAGCTTCTTTTCCAGCCTTTGCTTGAAAGAGACCCACAAGTAGAAGATCTACTAGTTCACAAGACCTCGAAAGAGAGGGCTACCCAAAACAACCAGGTAAATTCATTAACTACAGAAAACTGTTCTCAGGCCCATTTTAACACAAAACATGTGTTCGATAAAGCTTGCATGCCCAGCACATTTCAGGTAGTTTCATTTAACTAAAATGATTCCAAAGAGCCTTTTTTTTTTTTTTTTTTTTTTTTTTTTTTTTTTAAGAGTC